GAGCATTATCCGAGCATTTTAGTGGGAAAAATGGAGCATTAAGGTGGAGCATTTTAGTGGGGAAGCAAAAGCATAATGTACAAAAGCCTACTCAAGGTATAGTTTGTTGACGTCATCAGCGTACTCAATGGGAATATGAAGCACTCTCGCACTATTGAATTTGATGAGGCGAACATTCTAGCTATGTTATAACATGAATTGAAACCTCTTTCCAACCTAAGCCACAGTCCAATTAAGCCCCTCACCCACCTTGTCTGCCCAACAATAACTATAAAATCAACATATGATTTTATTAGCTGTTTAATTTTTATTTATTGTGAACTTTAGGTAACCCTTCATTGAAGGAAGTTAGTTCCCTTTGGGTCCCATTAGCAATTCTTGTAGTCTTTTATGTATTGCCACTACCATTACCTAAAAATCTGGTAAAGAAGCAAGAAATTACGTACCTGTACAAAATACTTGTACTTTTTAAAAAGCCATATGACGAAAATAATGAAAAGGCTGTGAATTAAAGATGTTCACTTAGTTTACACAAGCTTAGAAAACGTACTTTGATTACTAATTATAAAATGGTGTCAGGGATAGGGGGACGGCAAAATTTTACCTGCTTCAGATTATTGTTGGCAATTTTTTATCTCTAGCAAGTTCGAATAATAAAAGGAATACCTAGAAAAAGTTCATCGTGAATCTCGACGAAACATGCGGGAAGTCATCAATATATCGGCTTAACTTTAAGACTATCAGTGTTCGTGATTCTCACCTGGCGATCAAGGAAAATGAAGCCACCGTCAACTTCACACCAGAAATCACCTTCTAAAATGACAACAAGATAAACAACAGAACAGTGAGTTCCAACGCCTGTCAAGTAGAAATTTGCGTTTATGAAACAAGACAAACAGGCACGATCACTTACACAATAGCGTTGGTTTTCTGTAAACAAGGAACATTCACCAGCCATCTTGACATAATTACCGTACCCTTCTGAATGGAATGAGTTTGTAAAATTACCATGTAGGGGAGGGTTGTTGATTGGGTCGTGTTGGTCATTTTCATGTCTTGTCTTTCATTGCGTAAATCGATTTGGAGAAAAATATTACAACAATAAAACATTAAAAACAAAAATTGCCTGTGTAACTATTTAGGTGTTAATTCAGGGCCTTTAAAAAGATCAAATGCGTTAAAAAAAAAAAAATAAAATTAAAAAAAAAAATAAAAAAATATCCCCTCAGCACCCGTCTCAAAACAAAAAGGTGAAGTCAGCCGAGGTATCAACCTCGCTGAGAACCTGGGAACGAGGTTGCTGAGTGGTCGTTAAGCGGAAGATGGTGCTGCTCCCTTCACTCAGCCAACAGTCAGCTGCTTCTTCTCAGCTGTACAGTTACCCAGTTTTGCCATTTGAAGTTGTATGATGAGATTCTGGGTTAAGGCTACTTTTTTGCTCTGCCTCTATGGCTTCTTCAAGGAAATGAAACCTTCAGAACCTTTCCTCACTCCATATTTGAAAGCACCTCCCATGAACTTGACGGAAGAGCAACTGGACAATCAAATCTACCCCGTGTGGACCTACTCGTATCTTGTAGTCCTGTTCATGGTGTTTTTAGTCACTGATCTGTTGAGATACAAGCCAGTAATAATAAGCGAGGGCTTGGCTTATTTGATGACCAGAATACTTTTGATCTGGGCTAGGGGTGTACTGGCAATGCAGTTTATGCAGTTCGCATATGGCGTTGCGACTGGCACTGAAGTGGCATATTATTCCTACATTTATGCAGTTGTTGACAGAAGTCATTACCAAGTAGTGACCAGCTACACGCGGGCTGCAGTACTTTTTGGAAGAATGTTGTCTGGTGTGGTCGGTCAACTTCTTATATCATTGAAAGTAGCAGACTATCTGGCTCTCAACTACATTTCTTTGGTGAGTGTCTCAATTGCCTGTTTGATCAGTTTATTTCTACCAAAGGCAACTGGCAACGTGCTTCTGATGAACACAGAAAGCGACTCCTCCTCCGAAGAAACAAAGACAACATGCTTATCTTCATGGGGAAAAACTATGCGCACTATGTTCCGTGACTTTGTGTTGTGCTATTCCAACAAAGCGCTACTCAGATGGTCGCTGTGGTGGGCCTTTGCAACCTGTGGAGAATTTCAAGTTGAAAATTATGTACAGAACTTATGGGATGTTATCTACCCTTCCCATAACCACAAGATTTACAATGGTGGTGTCACTGCAGTCTCTCACCTAACGGGTTCTTTGGTGGCAGTTGGCCTGGCGTACGTGAAGATAAACTGGTCTTTGTTTGGTGAATTATGCCTTGGCATTGTTTCAGTGGCAGATGCATTCTTTCTTTTCCTGAGTGCACAGACAACCAGTATCTGGATGGCATATCTTATGTATGTGCTATTCCGGACAGCATATACCTTTCTCATAACAGTAGCAAGGTAAGATAAAGTGTGTGCATAGTTATCAGAAGAAAGAAGAAAATTGACCACCTTAAACCATTCTCACCTCAACTGGCTGTAACTACCAGTGTGGAACCATGACCCTTGCACCTCATGTGATATATTTATCAGTTTAATGGTCATGTATTTGATAACTTGTGAGATCTCTCAAACTATACATTTCTTTACAAATGTGTGTGGTCAGAGAAAAATGCAATAAAGAAATGGAAATCACACCAAGCGCTTTGACCAGGATAGTTTCAGGATCATGTATACGTGTTTTACGTGCATACATAACAGAAACATTGGTTTTAGTTTGCAGATTGCGAGACATGTTGAGATGACAAGATTTGCTCTGGTTTTTGGAATAAATATGTTTGCTTCTTTGCTTCTTCAAACAATTCTAACAAGCATTGTTGTAGACAAACGTGGACTAAATCTTCCAGTTTTAACACAGGTAATGTTAATTATTTATAATTTTGTGTAGCTTTATCATTTCTGTTATAAACTTGTCATACATTTCCTCTTGCAAGTTAGCTTATGTATATTTCTCCTATTTCCCTCTTTCATAACACTTTAAGTCATGTGTAGACTTTGCTTATCATGACAAGATATGCCCAGTGAACTACTTACGGTGTACCCTAGATAACAATCATTTAATGTTATCAACTCATTTGGTGAGGCCCTTCCCATGTTGTTGTGATAATAACAATAATAATAATAGTAAATAACAGTATATCTACCAAGTGGCTCTTTTTTGAAACGTTTTTTACCCTCGGCAGTATATATAGCACTAATGCTAGTGGGGCCGAGCAAATTCATGGAACAAATAAATTAAATCAAACATAAACGGGTTAAGAATCCCAACTGGCTGGAGGCGAACCAGATTGCTATTTACAAGCATGGTCGAGGATTTGAACTCGGGACTAATGAAAACAAATCCAGCTAGCAGTCAAGGCGGGACTTGAACTTGGGGCCCCCAAATCACATGCACTCAGCCACGCTGCTTCCTTCACCTGCCTTCATCTGTTAAAAACTCGTGATGAGTTGGAGGAAAGTTTGTCATAAGCTGAAGTCTCCAGGTGGAAAACATAGTATAAGATTCTTTTTCCCACAGTATTAATTTTACTGTCACCCATTCCTCAACCATCTGGCTGCTGATTTCAGTGGCTCATAGATTTTGAACTTACTCCTGTTGCCACAAAAAAACATTTTCTTTTGCTTGATTATGTGCCTTGCCCTTAAAAACAAGAAATAATATCAAGGGCATGATCATCATTACCTGCTTGAGTACAGAGTGTACAGAAAACATAAAACTTAAGCAACAGAACAACTATCAGTGAGTAATTTTTTAGATTTTTTTCAAAAGCAAATAAGGAAAAAGAGCTGGTGAGTGAAATTGGCAACAAATTTCAGATTTTTGGTCCACCATAAAGGACACTGAACTGCTTAACCCACTGACTGCTGTGCTGGCTAAAAGTGGCCGTAGAAGACAACACTGCTTTTAAACATTGTAGCTTTCTTAATCGCACAAACATTGTGTTAACTGTCAGTAGTGAGCATCAAGTAGAAAGTCCTTCAAATTGGCATATATCCAATAAATGCAAAAAAGTCAGCACTTTTTGCAAAATATTATCTTTTGAATTTAGACAATAACAAGAATGACCGTTTTTAACGTCATGGAAAAACAAAAAAAGTCACATTTTTTGCTTTCAGGTTTTTTACAGACATCATCGTTGCAAAACTAAAAGTCAACATCCACAGTAACATTCAGTCCTTGCTCTAGCTTAGAAGTGACTTTTTTTGTTGTTATTCGTTTCCCGTCCCGAGCTAAAGCTTTTTGTTCTAGTGCATCTTGGCCTTGCCTCGATTTTCAACATCATGACTGCATTCTTGCATGCCAGGAAATAGCCAGAATTTTTGACCGCATTCATTCCTTCCTCCACTTTCTTCATATTTATACTAAGTCCACAGCCACTCCAACCTACCACTGAAATTTTGTGCTTGTTGTGATTTTCAGTGGTTGTAAATTCCGAAATATGCCATGGTAGGTCAAGAAATTCATCAGTAGTTGTGTCCCAAAGTTACTTCTTTTCAGAGCAGCAAATTTTCTAAACTTTGCAAAAATCGCATTATTATAGCCGAACAAAGTATAATGTCTACATCAGAATGACGTTTCCAGAAAACTCAAGCCTCCAGTGTTTCAGAACAGCAGTACTTTCCATGGTAAGCCCAAATACGGAGTCAGAAAATCCTATGAACTATTTGAATGTAGAAAATCACTCAAAAAAGTAAAAAGTCCCGGACGTCAATGGATTAATGTTTATTTTACAAAAATGAGGTCTGTACTGAGAGGCCAGTCAAGTTTCATAATGGTGGATGTGATTACTGCTTAAAAAGAGTTTACAAAAGCGACTAGACAGAAGATTATGGTGATACAAATACATGAAAGCAGCAACAGAAAAATAATTACTGTTTTATATGTCAAGGACTTTAAGTTGGCACTATGTACTTTTACAAAAGATAAATAGAGCAGTAAGTGGAGGACCAGGCAACATTACAGCATCTTAGGTAGTGATATACCAGGAAATAATAATAAGGTCGGCAACGTTTTGGATGAAAGGTAAAAGCGGGCTTTTGCAGTAATCCCACAGTTTTTGATGTTTTTTAGGAACAAAGCTAATATTAGGTTTCAGGAAAGGTGCTGATCAACAATAACAGCTAAGAATTTAGTTTCTATAACGTTCTTGATCGCAGTATTTTCCATAACAAGAGGAACATTAACATTAATTTTCTTTTGCATTGGATGAAAAATCATTAGGTTCGTTTTAGTCAAATTTAGAGATAACTTATTTGCTTGAAGGTGGCTTGATACAGTTTTTCAGGGTCAATACCTCTCACGTTTGAGCGTAGACTATGTCGCCATAAACAAAGATTTGGAAAAATTGACTCCACAGTTGTATTAAATAAAGATGAAAATTTGTTATGATCAGGGTTGCAATGACATCGGAGTTGTCATAGCAACGAAATGACGCCATTACCTATTTTACTTGCAGCATGATTTCTCGGCACTGGGAACTGTTCTTCCAAAATCGTTTACTGGAGCTTTTTCCTACAATAGCCGCCTCAATGTTCATGAAGTTAAAGCAAAATCTGCAAGAGCGTTATTGAGATATTTTGGGAAGAAGTCTTTATGGTTAGAAATACCGTAAAAAATGGACAATCTTGATGTTCGACTGTTATCTGTACTAAACGAAGCGCTTTTGACATGCAATTTCACCTCACAGTAGTTTCAATCTTTTTAAAAATATGTGTGAAAGATCATGGAGATACCTCCAGCTGATTGCTAGAAAGAAGGATTTGATTAGTATGTATCGGGGCACTCTTGTTTGCGGTAATGTAAACATTTCGGTCTACTTTAACAAATCAGCGAATAATTTTTAAACCGCATTTTTAAAAAAATTAAGAGTCTTGAGATAAACCGTCCTTTTAGATGACCTCTTAGTTTCAAGATTATTGATATATTGTAAGGTAGTAAAATAAGGGCTACAATTCGCTAATATTCTGTCAGAAATTTTGTGTTTACAAGTGAGATACTGTTATTATTCAGGGGTATTGTCTCAAAGTTTCATTTTCACGTGAACAGCAGTAACTAACAATGTATTTGACATATGCAAAAATGCTAGCTATTGTTGTGCACGAAAATATGAAAATTGTCCATTTTTTACGGTATTTCTAACCATAAAAACTTCTTCCCAAGATATCTCGATAACGCTCTTACAGATTTCGCTTAAACTTCTCAAACATCGAGACGGCTATTGTAGGAAAAAGCTCCAGTAAACGATTTTGGAAGAACAGTTCCCAGTGCCGAGAAATCATGCTGCAAGTAAAATAGGTAATGGCATCATTTCGTTGCTATGACAACTCCTATGTCATTGCAACCATGATCATAGCAAATTTTCATCTTTATCTAATACAACTGTGGTGTCAATTTTTCCAAATCTTTGCTTATGGCGACGTAGTTTACGCTCAAACTTGGGAGGTATTGACCTTGAAAAACTATATCGAGCCACCTTAAGCCAAGTAACCATTTTTGCACCTTGAGTTCATTGTTAGCAAATAGAAATAAGGTGGTCGGTATCCCTATGAGAACAAAAAATATTTGTATCATCAGCAAACAGTAAAGATTGAGTCAGGCTAGAGACATTAGGAAGATTGTTCTTGTAAATAATGAATGGTCCAAGGATTGAGCCCTGCGGGATGCCACAGGAAATTTTTCTGTAGTAAGACCAACTGAACCTAAACAGGTCAAATTGAGTCCGATCCTCAAAATAACTTTTAATCCACGACAAAGCAGTGTCCCAAATAACAATAGTGTTTCAGTTTTTGGCACAATATTTTATGATTAACGGTATCACACGCGTTAGATAGATGTAAGAAGATGCCTAACGTTGATTAATTTCCTTTAAAGTTAAAAATAAGAATATTTTTCGAATGAGGCCTTAAACTGCCGATTAAAAAATAAAATTGGAATCCAAGCTTTAACCAATCAACGGCAATATCTGGCATCATCATCATCCCTGATGAAGCAGTTGATCAGCAAAAGCCTGGATTCCAATTTTATTTCTTAATCAGCAGTTTAAGGCCTCATTCGAACAATATTCTTATTTTTAATCATGCTGCTGAAGGACAACATCAACAGAACTTAACTTATTATACTATAACTCAAGTGGCTCTAATTGAGGGATGAACAATACAGGAAGCTAGTCGGAGTCAGTTATGAATAGCTACAATGTAAATTATTCCGGTGGAAAGTTCTGTTAATGTCCTTTTTCACAAAGTGGCACTGACAAAAGAAGTAAAGGAAAATAAAGTAATCCTGCTTCACCAATTGGCCTCTTTTTTCACTTCCTTTTCAAAACAAAATTTGCAAATGTAGAGGCGCTTATAAAAACACAGAACGAACTAGCCACACTGGTCATTTGCCATCAAGATTTTTTTTTGTTAAAAACCCTTCAAGGCTATACATATGATGAAGAAAAAAACTGATATGGCTGGGAGGTTCTCTCTATGAACGGACTGGTCTGGCTAGTAATTTTTTCACAAAAATTACGTTAAACACCTGAGAACTGTAAAGAACTGTACACCTGCGAATATAGAGACTAGAGAGGAGAAGTGTGACATCACGTTACCATGGTAGCACTATTTCTGGATGACAACAAAACCAACGACGATGGCGAAGGCAAGGAGAACAGCAAAACATAATATGTCTATAATAACAAACAACAACTTTGCACGTGCATCACGCTATTTTGTACGTTTCTTTGCCGTTGTTGCACCACTACAACATGGAACTTCCTAATTTCACGAGCCCGCTTTATGGAGTAGGTGAACACAACGTTAAAATTGTTGCTTTCTTTTTCTAAACTTAGATAACAATAGATACGGTCCGAAAGAAAATTTCGCCAAGGTTTGCCAAATTAAATGAATTTGAATAAGGTCGGTGAAGTTTGAAATAGTGCGAATGGACTTTAAGTGACTTTTCGGCTTGTTGTCATCCAGAAATTTTGCTACCATGGCAACGTGACGTAACAACTTCTCTTTTTTGCTCCCTACCACTACTGGCGAGGCCAGGCTGCCATATTCGCAGGTTACTGTGAGAAGCAATGTAGGTTTCCAATTGTCATTTTCTTTGTTTCCCAGTTTGTCATTTACGGAAGTTACTTTTTCATCATCGGAGCTGTTTTTTTGGCAAGAGCTGTGTTCCATATGACAAGAGTTGGGTGGCGTCAGTGCTGGGAACAGCGTTATAATCAAGAAGATCAGCAGCCTCTGACAGTCATTACAAACACGGAATATAGAGATGGAGAAGAAAACCAACTGATTTAAGCCACAAATCAACCCACCAAAAAAAAGACAATATGATTCTATTTTCCTCCTCCTTCTTTCCCATGTGGTGAATCCGACACTGCACTTCTTGATTCCAGCTACACAGGCCATCCTGGGATTTTGAGAATAAATCCCCATTATTGAAAGGGTGTCCATTCGTAATTTTTAACCCTTTTTTTCTATGAATGATCAAGTTCTAGGATAGCCTAGCATTCCTTTTAGCTGTTACAGTAGGTAAACTTTGAGTTGTGTGGTCGGTCCCCACTTTAATCAGGATGGAAATGCTACTTTGATGCCGGTGTTGTGGTTAATTTCATCCCTTTTTTATTCTTTTACTTAATTTATTCTAGCATTTTGTAGAAACGTCATCTGTGTAAGAAACAGAAGACCCTAAACAAATATGTGAATGATATGTGTCATAAAAAGTTGTCACGTGATACGTCCCTGTATGTAATGAACCTAATGTTAGTCAGTACCACTGAAAAACCTAATTTTGCGCTGATGAGATATTCGGCAGGTTTTGACTTAGGTCACTAATATAAGGACATTTAACTTTGTCATTTTTAGACTACGACAAAAACCCTTACCATTTATCTATTGCATTGAAGTTTTTGATTATGGAAAAAAATGACTTCAGGCATTTATTCTCGGCTTGCACTGTCACGTAATGAAAAATAAAAGTGCAAACCATTCAATCCAGAAGGACTAGAATCTGGGAAATGAAAAAAGATAAATATACAAAAACTCTTGCCAAGAATCAGGTCTGTGAAATATTTCAAATGCGAGATATTGGGAAAAACGGTTTACCTAAATTTATAAAGCTTTGTATGGAAACGCCATGTTGGTGTCCCTTTCAGGAACACCAATATGGCCGCCGGATACCAACAGAAACATCTGTTTTCGAGTTTTCCTACTAATGCGTGAATTCTTCGCTTGAGGAACTCATAAAGATTACAGTAATATTTATTCTGAGACAAGGAATGTTTAGATTGCAAAATCTTCCAAAATCGGTAATGTTTTTAACCCACATAAGAGCTTTCCCGGCCGCCAGCTAAATTGCCGCGTCACGCAAAAGCCTGGAAATTCAAGCGTCCTCTCTCGCAAAACGAAGAACCCTTTCGAACCAAACGTTTGTTTATGTAAAGGTGTTTAGGTACTGTAATAGCTCGTGAAAGTAGAAACTCAGAAGAATCGATAGTTTCTGAGTTTGATTTTTGGTGACGTCACGTGCAACCCAAGAAATAAGCCCCGGGGCTTATATTTTTCAAAGGCCCTTTTTGAGGGGCTTATTTTTGGAGGGGCTTATATTCGGAGGGGCTTATCTACGGAGGAAAATTTGCGTTTTAAAATCGATTGGGCTAGCCTTATGGTTGGAAGTAAATTCACCGTTTTTGCTTTGTTTTACTTTGTATTTGAGGGCAATTTCCAAGAACAAGCCCCCGGGGGGCTTATCTTTGGAGGGGCGATTTAACGGAGGGTTTTTTGCGTTACCGGTTTAGGGGGCTTATATTTGGTAGCCTGCGTAGCAGGCGTCGAAAGGGGTAGGGGATTGCGCCTGCCACGCAGGCTAATATTTGGAGGGTCTTATACATGGAGGGGCTTATTTTCGGAGTTTTCCGGTACCTAGGAGCACTTTGTGGTATCCCAGAAAGCTCCGCGTGAGGGCCTCCTCTTCTTTTATTGTATATCAAATAATCACTAAAATAACTCTTCAAATAAACTACATTTTTACCTTTTTGCGATGATACAAGCTTAATCTAAGGAAAAGTGACCATGAAAGAATCTCAATAAATCGACTTAAAAGGTTGAAAAATCTATTTACATAATTTTTTTCCGCGTCAAACATTCGTTCAGTCATTTTATCCTAACGCAGCCTAACGTGAACCTAAGACGTACCCCAAACTTTTCATGAGACGAACCAAACGTAGTGAGTTAAGTTCATGAAAAGTTCTGAACAAGTTTGGATCGTCCAACACCTTCAGACGGATAGAACGTCTGAAGCTCGTCTCCGGGACAAACGACGATCTTACGACGAACTAAACTAATAAGGTAAATATTTGTATGATAATGTATAATTATCATAATTATGCCTCGTTCGGGAGAAAATTTTTTACTGGCCGGCTGAAGTTGCCTTTTGGTCTGATTCAGTTGATTGGTTCAATGCGTCCTAAATATGACGTCTGACCCAACAGATGATCTTAACTTAATTTACTATTAAAATCGATCCTACAAAACAGCTTTGACATCAGGGGCACCCAACGGGAATATAGTTCAAAACCACTTAAACATAGCATTGTTAAACGTATTTTAGTATTAAACGGTAGATATAGGCATATTTTTATCCCCTAAAAATTTTTCATCTGTTCGGATTTCCTAGCTGAAAGTCTAGTGATCCGAAAATTATAGGGATCCCAACTTACCTTTTCGAAAATTTCAGCCAGAAAAAGGCTCCCGAAAATTCTAGGTGACCTCTTTAAGGGTAAAAATCAGTTAAAAATGGGCAATTATAGTAGTTTTTAGCTGTTTGAACATCGTAGGAGAGGCAGGCAAGCAAAAATTTTTACAACAAATGTTCCGAAAATTCTAGATCTCAAATCGTCTTCCGAACAGATATTTTCCGAAAATTGTCGTTGGATGCCCCTGTGACATTCTCACTCTATCTGAACACTCACAAGAGTCACCACACTTGTCAGTCGTAACACTGCTTATACTCACAACACTTGTCAGAGTCAGAAAACTGGTCAAAGTCGTAACACTTGTCACAGCCACAACACTCGTCAGAGTCACAACACATCTCAGAGTCCCAATACTCGTCATAGTCGCAATACTCGTCGAAGTCACCAAACTCGTCAGATTCTCAACACTCGTCAGAATCACAACTCTCGGCAGGGTAAAAAAAACTCCTCAGAGTCACAACACTTGTCAGGGTCAAAACACTCATTAGGTTCTCAACACTTAACCTGCGTGGCAGGCGCAGAAAGGGAAGGCGAGGGGAGGGGAGAAAAGCGCGAAAGAGGGGAAAAGGGAAGGGAGCGCCTGCTTTGAGAGCCGGTATTTTTGTATTCCGCCCAACTTTTTTTCTCAGCTACTCCGATAACGTCAATCGTCAATACGTGACCAATCACAAGTAGGGGGCGCTTCCAGGCATGGTGCGAACTTAATTACTTTGTTTACCGGAAATTGTCAAGTCGAGACGCTTGTTTTAAGTGACATCATACTCGATCAAAATAAAACATTTTTACTGTCTTTGCTCTCGCAGCAAACACGACAAATGAAAGACTACGAGCAGTCTCTTTTTACTACTCGCAGTGTACGACACAAACAATGATCAGTTTCGTGTGAATACATAAAACCTTTGGTCGTACCTCATCAAACACAATGGTCACAACGAACACAACAGTCCCCAGCCTGAGAAGCAAATAATATAAGGAGAATTATAAACAATTGTGAAAAAGCACAATTTTTTCATACATTTTCTGTAATTTTGATACTCTCGAATTACAGAAAATGTATGGGAAAACCAAGGTTTTCTAAAAACTGATCACGGACTTCCTTGCACTCCACTTTTAGTGTATTGTTTTTTTAAACTCGTAAGTTACTCTTTTCAAAGAAAAAGTATCAAATATATGAATTCAGGAAGAATTAGCTGGCTTTGAATTCTAATACACATCTTCTAATTTTCCGCCATCTTGCCCTGATTACCCATGATGCAACTATAAGCGTGAACCCCTCTACTCACAACACTCTTCAGAGTCACCACACTCATCAAAGTCACAACACTCACCAGGGTAACAGCAATCGCTAGAGTCAGATCACACGTCGGGGTCAAAACACTCATCAGAGTCAGAAGACTCGTCACGGTCACAACACTCGTTAGAGTCACCACACTGGTCAGAGTCAGCCACTTGACAAAGTCACAAAACTTGTCACAGTGACAACGCTCGTCAGACTAACCTCAATAGTCGGAAACAAACAACTCGTAAGAGTCACAACACTTGTCAGAGTCAGAACCATGGAAGGTCACAACACTTGTCACAGTCACAACAGTTGCCGGCGTCACAACGCTCGTTACAGTCAGAACACTAATATTCGTCACTCATCAGAGTCACTAAACTTGTCAGAATCAAAACACTCATCAGAATCACAACGCTCGTCGAAGTTACCACCCTTTTTACAACCATAGCATTCGTCAGAGTCACAAAACTCCTCAGAATTACAACACTCGTCAACGTCACGACGCTCCTCAGAGTGACACCACTTGTCAGAGTTGCAACTCTTGTCAGATCGGAGGCGTAGCACTCGTCACGATCACAACGCTCTTAAGAGTCAAAACACCCTCAGGGTCACAATACTCGTAAAGGTCACAACACTCGTCACAGTCACGACACTGGTCAAGATCACAACACTCGTCAGAGTCACAACAATAAATAACTTGTTCCCGCCACTACGAAATTCTCGCTAAACCCTGTTGTAGAATGACAACGGCTATCTCGTTTTCCCGCCAAGATGACGCTGGCTCACGCGCGTGCAAAGAAAAAAATCTCGTGCTCGTAGTCGTCCTCGTCCTCAAATCTTAACAGGGGCACCCAACGACAATTTTCGGAAAATATCTGTTCGGAAGACGATTTGAGATCTACAATTCTCGGAACATTTGTTGTAAAATTTCTTGCTTGCCTGCCTCTCCTAGGATTTTCGAACATCTAAATAATGGTATAATTGCCTATTTTTAACGGAATTGTACCCTAAAAAGGTCACATAGAATTTTCGGGAGCCTTTTTTCTGGCTGGAATTTTCGAAAAGGTAAGTTTTGATCCCTATAATTTTCGGATCATTAGACTTTCAGCTAGGAAATCCGAACAGATGAAAAATTTTTAGGGGATAAAAATATGCCTATATCTACCGTTTAAATACTAAAATACATTTAACAATGCTATGTTTAAGTGGTTTTGAACTATTTTCTCGTTGGATGCCCCTGTCTTAAGCTCTATATTCTTTAGAGTCACAACTTTTGTCAAAGTAAAACACTCGTCAGGGTCACAACACTCATCAAAGTAAGAAACCTTGTCAGACTCCTCAGAGTGACAACACTCGTTAGAATCACAACTGTCGTAAGGCCGTTTGCAGCTATATTGATATAGTCATCACAGTTTTTTATGTGGACCTGGACTGCTCATGGTCCATCTCACGTGACCGTCCATGTAACTGCAGTAAGATTGCTTTCCAATTAGACTACATTTTACTTTAATTAGATTTTTACTACAATGGGATTTTTCTTTTTCTACAATTAGATTTTTCTTGTAAACGGTTTAAATTCTTTTATTATACAGACACGAGTGTTTTACTGGAAAATATACCACTCGTAAAATTCATAAAAACTACATCCGGGACCCGAGTGGTTTATTTTCTATAATCTTACACGTGAGTTTATCGATGAAGTAATTTTGATAATTTCCCTCTATTATTTTATCGATGTCATTTTGTCTATATAATAAAAAAGAACATTACACGGCGGCTTGAAGATATGAATTTTATTTTCTCGTGGCAAAAGCAATATTTTACTCACTCGATGCGCTCGTTCGTAAAATATTGTTTTGCCACTCGAAAATAAAATTCATATCTTCGCGCTACCGTATCATATCCTCTATATATTTCCCTTAGGTGGGCACCTCGCTAGGTTCTAAGCGTCCTGTTAGTACCTTCCCCTTTTGAGCACTAAGTCTTTCTTCAGCGATATGGCACCGTGAGTTTTGCACCAGTCTTAAGGAAGTGAGACGTGCGACGTGCGTGTTCCGACAGTTTGAAGTAATTGAGAGCTCTCATAGAAGGACAAGACGATTTATTTTTAAAGTAACAGACTTACACTTGTAATCCTTAACTGAGCTCATTACTCGTTTTCTGCCTTACATTTTCACCCTGTTCCTCCCCTTTTCTTTGCCAGTTTCTCCCTTTTTCTTTCTCATCTCTTGCCTCTCTTTTTCTTTTTTTTTTTCTCCGATTTCTCCAATTAATCACAGAATTTCTCTACTTACACTCTATCACTTTACCCGGAAGTACGCATCAGATTTTATGTTTAATTCACTGGAGGGAATGTAGGAGCGTTGCAAGCTCGGTGCCATTGTCTATCTTTTCCTGGCAGACGGCGCAGGGGCACCCAACGACAATTTTCGGAAAATTATCTGTTCGGAAGACGATTTGAGATCTAGAATATTCGGATCATTTTCTGTAAAATTTCTTGCTTGCCTGCTTCTCCTAGGATTTTCGAACATCAAAAAAATGGTATATTTGCCCATTTTTAACGGATTTTTACCCTAAAAAGGTCACCTAGAATTTTCGGGAGCCTTTTTTCTGGCTGAAATTTTCGGAAAGGTAGATTTTGATCCCTATAATTTTCGGATCACTATACTTTCAGCTAGGAAATCCGAACAGATGAAAAATTTTTAGGGGATAAAAATAAGCCTTTATCTACTGTTTAAATACTAAAGTACGTTCAACAATGCTATGTTTATGTGGTTTTGAACTATATTCTCGTTGGGTGCCCCTGACGGCGTAAAGGTTCCATGATTTCTGAGCGCTAAGGAAGGAGCTTCGGTTAGTATTATAAAAAATTATTGCTCCTTCGACATCCGCTAATTTCAACCTTTTGGTGATGGCCTCCACTTTAGCAGGGTTAGA